CAGCCGCGGCACTTGCTTTCAATGCAATCCTTCAGGGACTCTCCCGAAGCCAATGCCAGCACCAAGCTGAGCACAAGAGCACGAGCCATGGCAATGAACAGGCTGATGAGGTCTACACCGAGCACAGCTGCTGGTTCCGAAAATCCTCAGGCAAGGATAGCCACACAGATCATCAGATCCCAGATGTCGCTGTGATTCAGCATCCGTAAGAGTTTATCATTCGGGGTCGTCCTAGTCGGGTTTTAAAGTTTGGGACGGCTTGGCTGCTTTTATGATTTGTGGTTGTCGGGTTTCCAGCGCTTTAAAGCTTGAGGGCTCTGGAGCTTCGGGGGCCGAAGATTTGAAGCTTTAGCTGTGCTAGGGCTTGGGGTCGAAAGGCTTGCCTTGGGCTTCCGGGGGGGGTTTATGGCTCAGGGCTTAAGGGCCTTAAGGGTTTGGGTTGAATGAGTTTCCTGGACATGGGTCTGTGTGTGAGGGGTTCAGGCCCCCGCCGGATTTTCCTGGGAACTTCAAAAGCCAAAGCTGGCAACACAGGCCTTTTCACACTGGAGTTTGACGATGTTGCATCCTGTCCTGCAGGGAATGGAACCTCAGGCAGACGGGGCCGAAAGGCATAATTCGCTGGATCTAAAACTGTAAGGAACTGTAAGGATCTTCTGTCCTCAACTAGGATGAGCTCAAAATCGGTCTAAGCATACCTGCAAGCTTCCAAGTGGCACCAACGGCCACATACCTATACACCTCGGCATCTGCATCGAGTTCCTCCGCTTATGGGAGGACAGCCTTGGAAGATTCGCAGGCAGGAGTTCGCATGGCTCCAGTGCAGCACTCGCTCTTAGCATCTTCGCGGCACAGTTGGCACTGCTCACCACCACAGCCGTGGCACTTGCTGTCGAAGCAGTTGGTGACGGCTTCCTCCTTGGAGTCTTTGCACATCTGCGGCGGATCAACGGAGTGGTAGTGCTGGTCACAGCAGCTGGCGATCCTCTGAACGTCTTGGTTGCACAGCTGGCACTGCTCGCCACTGCAACCCTGGCAGGCAGCCGCCACGCAGCTTTTGGCATCTTGCTCCCAGGCGCATTGGAGGCTTTCAGCCCCGTACANNGCCATCGCAAGGATTCTTGGGTTCGAGGTCTTCCTTGGCATCCTTGCACATCTGAGGGGGATCCACCGAGTGCCAGTGGTCCTGGCAGCAGGTGTCGATCCTCTGCGCGTCTTCGCGGCACAGTTGGCACTGCTCACCGCCACAGCCGCGGCAGCTGGTCTCTAGGCAGCTCTTCACATCCTCTTCCCAGGCGCATTGGAGGCTTTCAGCCCCGTACAAGCCCGCGCAAGGAGTTGTGGGCTGGGCCTTGCACGTGTCGATCTGCGA